CATACATTTTATTACATTAGATGATATTTAAATGTATATAATAAACTCAGGAATGTATGCTAATATTGAACAACCAAAAATTATAAGATTATTGGTATTACAGTGCTTTTGAAACTACTGTTCTCTTGTGGCATGTCTAACTTGTAAATTATTTTATATGGAATTAACTCACAACTGGTTGTAATGAGAGTTACATTTTATATTTGCTTTGATGTTTCGATTTCACTCCGGAAATCGTTTTCAAAAAAATTCTGAAATACATTATTATGAATGCTCTTCTAACCTATAAATGTTCATAATATCTGGTGGTGGTTTACTACCCACTGTTTATCTGCAACTACGATAGATATCAAACGCAATGCACTAATGCCTGTACCTACTGCCGGTCACTCAGTGGCTGAGTTCTGATCAGATAAAGAAATCATGACAAAAAATTTTGGTTATAGTATTTAATAATCACATAGCCGTATAGCGCGCATTTTTAGTACAAATAAACTAAAAGGATGACATTCTATTATCCATGAAGGCAGATAAAAACTATTGCATCTATTTACACGATAAAAATATGTATAAATGCCTAACACATCTTGTTTCAAAAATTATACTGTACTTATAGTATAAATCCAGGAAAAGACCCAAAGAATTGACTTTATATAGACCCATTAGTCCCTGACCTATATTATCTAAGCTATTTGAATAAATGTTTCGGTGTCTATTAGAACCAATAATAGAAGAAACACAAAATTAATTCTAAAACACGAATATGGTTTTCCTAGCAAACATATTATAATAGAACAAACATCCGCATAGTCAAACAAATCGGTAATGATCTAGAAAACAAGAGGTACTGTAGTGCAGCTTGTCTAGACATCAGCCAAGCGTTCAACGAAGTGTGCAATACAGACTCCTCTATAAGCTAAAGAAAAATCTCTCATATCAATACTATTTAATTAAAAAATCATATTTAACAGATTGTTTTTCACTAGTAAAACAACAATATGCTTGCTCAAAACTATTTAAAATAGAATCCCGTGTCCCGCAAGGTACTGGACTCGGTCCTTTAATATATCTGATATTTACTGCTAACCTACCTACACCTAGACTAACAATAGCCGCAACATTCGTAGATGACACAGTTATTATCGAATTTCGGACAGATCTCCAAAGAGTTTCGTATAACTTACAAGTCCACTTAAACAAAATAGAAAAATGGTTAAAAATGTGGAAACAGCTAATGAAACAAAATCGACCTATATTACATTTACCTTGCAAAGAGAGAGCTATCCACCATTAAACGTAAACAATTAGTAGAAGTAGATACAACCAAATACCTGGACATACATGTAGATAAAAAGTTAACATGGAGGAAACACATCTTCAGCAAAAGAAAGCTTGGACTCACTTCAACAAATGTAAAATAAAGCATTGAGAACTATAGTGAACGGTCCATGGTACGTTCCCAACGTAATAATAGAGAGAGAGAGCTGAAATTTCCGAGAATAAAAGAGAAGATCAGCAAATAACTTTATGGTGTGTTTTGGTTAAACGATAAAGTACCTTCGGTCTAATTACTGGACTGCATACTCTCAACAGCTTTGGTATTCATTATTGGACTACACGTGTTTAAACCTTCTGTTTTGCTGAAAACTCGGAAATGATTTAGTGCCAATTTGTTTTAAGGTTATATTTAATACAGTGACTGCAGAAAGTAAAGTCTTAGATGTATTTAATTCAAATTTGGACATACCAACAACTTGGTAAGTTCCAGTTTTACTGCATGCAAAACCATTAGTATAATTTTCACTCTACTCAAAATAGAGACATAGAGACCTTGATGAACATTTGATGTCGACAAATAATTTCGAGTATTCGAAATATACCGCCCCACTTCTTTTAACACGCCCTGTATATACATATTATTACTGAATATAAAATACAGGAAATTAAATATTTTTGCATATTTAATTACATATCGGACGTAAAGGTAAAAACAGTTTACCTATCCTATTTAAAGAAAGTCACAACTTTAACTGATTGTTTCTAACGGTACATATTGTTAAATAAATGGAGTAATAAAAAAAAACTTATAGTACATTAATCACAGTCATCGTCTAAGACCAAGATATGTGTCAGATACAGTAGAGACGTCAATTTGAGGGTATCATCCAATTTTGCTAGATAGCGGATCCCAAAATCATCAAAATAAACCTAAGGTCAGTAGGTGAAAAAATTTTCTTTGATGGTTCACTTTACGTCACAGAAATAGAGAGGGGATGAAGAAAGAGAGTGATAAAGAATAGATAGACTGAAAGAAGATACATGTAAATAGGGGGAGAGAGCGAGAACAGACAAGTAGTAAGTACATTTATACTATACTTTGTAATTATTATATTCTAGTCATATAAAGTAGATCACATGAACAAAAAAAATTAATTCCTGAAATCAGAAACAGTTAATTAGCGGAGGAACTATTACAAATAGAGGTGGGAATAAATTATTTAAACAGTTCCAAAATCCAACCATTTAAAATAGTGCAGAGATCCTCAGCTCTAAAAAGAATTGTGAATAAAATTTCAGAGTAGTAGCTATTTTCTTATAGTAACTGCTCATAATTAGTGACATTTAACACAACAATAGAAAAGAAGAACTCAAAAAATGCACACAAAAAAAATTAATTTTAATTTGTTTATCTTCTCACAGTTTTTAGATACTAATTAACAAATAATATTTATTAAAGCTCTTACTTTTGTTCTTTATTTTATTTTGTTTGCTACACAAAATGTCAATCAACTTTTTAAATTTTGGAAATATTTCGATATCACAATTTTAAAAATTGGCGAAACTGTCGATTTAACAAACTCAATTTAAAACATTTCCGGAATTGTGGGTATTTATTATACACAACAATAAAGAAAGTCTATCATCAACTCTAGATAATATTCCTTTATCGTCGCATATTTGTTTTATTTTATTTGATAGCAGATTTTAAATACAATATTCTTTTAACAAGTAAACGCTGCATTGTTTAGTTATTTCATCATATTTGGCTCTAGAAAACTTTATAACTTTGACTTCTATAAGACAAATGTTATGTATGATTACCACCAATGTTTATAAAGTTAAAAGAATACAGATTATTCTAGTTCAACGTTTAGATGATATTAGGAAACGATTACAAAGAAGAAATATTCTACGGCACTTTTGGATAAAAATGGGTATAAAAATGCATCAGAGTTCTTCGAAGACGAGAGGGGAAAACTAGAGCATATATCGATGAAAAAAAAGGGACAGGGACAGAAACATCAAAAGAAGAAATACTTTTTGAACTGATGATCTGATAAAATGATCTAAAAGAAGGGTTAATGGGTCATGTATCCAACTGATGGTTAACTTAGATTTTTATTTGTTTTCCTAAAAAGACAAAATCTAAATATTTTCTAAAGATCATTCACAAAATTATTTCCAAAAACTCGAGATGGATACAGAAGCGACTGGATTCTGTATAGGTGTAGGTTAATCGAATTTACATATACATACATCAACGACTAGAAGAAATCTTGAGGATCTCGATGATGTAAGAGCAGGAATAAAGGAAGTCCGAATAACAACTAAGGGAAACAGCATGAGAAGGATACGATATTGGTGGACGACCTCGAAGATTTTAGAGACTGGTGAACGAGATAGAAGGAATTTGAGTATGGACAAAAATGTCGAGTATCAATGGACAAGGAAAACTAAATTAACGAGAGTCACCTAAACGATTACTACAAAGAAATTAGACTAAAAAAAGTATAAACAAATGTCGATGAACTAAGAAAAATACTTTCTATAATATACCTAAAACTGGACTTACGAGTAAGGCTGACAAAGTCTTTCAAATTGTGGGTATATATAGGAATCCCGAAGGTTATATAATAAGAAATGAAATTACAATGTAATAAGAAAAATAAAGAAGGGAATGGAAATAATACTCCATCATCAAATTAAGAAATCTATAATACCTCGACACAGTATGCGAGGAAAGAGATGACATGCTTCAATTAATTATGCAGGGAAAAATCCTTATAATTTTAGAGTACAGTATGGATGCACATACTAATATGGTTGAGATGGTCAGTAAAAAATCTTTATCGAATTTCCTAAAAAAAGATTGCTTTTTTAGAGGAAACTTATAAACAGCATTGGGCTTAATAAACACAATGGATGAACCCTTTGAATGATACTTTATTGGTATGTTAGCAAAATGGACAAACTTCTGAAGTAGACTATTAAGTATGATTACAAGTTAGATACAGAAAAACCTATCATATCTTGTTCCCGACAAGTATCAACAAAACGGATATATTAAGAAGCTATTGTTTTTTGAGCATCAGTCTTGTGATGTAAAGCTTACTAATATACTACTAACTTAGCTCATTAAGGCTCAGTTCATCAGTTTTAACAAATAACCTCATACCAAAGTTAGGCGGGCTTTTAGAACTAACATGAATGGTAGAAATACCTGACCATATGAGAAATTCTTAATAATCAGTTTTTGGGAATATAGAAAAATGATTATTGAACCTGGAATGAAGTAAATATATAAAAGGGAAATGCACGAAAAGGTAAATGGGAATTAGTAACAAAAAGAATTATTTAAAAAAAACTTACAAATACCATGCTTTGAGAATATTACTTCATCGCAGACATAAAAATGCACCTGAGCAAAGATTAGGGTAGACCTGCTACCCCTAGCTCAGATACTAGTTTATAATAGTATTCATATAAATCAGATTTAACCAAGTGGAACAATTAGGTATTTTATCTGTTATTATTAATTAATTATTAAATTACTTTATCTGATGAAAAACAGTTTGTGTTAGCAACTGATTTAAGCTACAAAAACTGTAGGTACATAACTATCTGCTATCAAATAAAAAAGGCTTAAAAAACTGTAACAAGTATTGTCAGGTTCACGCCATAACTGGTATAAAGAATATACCTTGACCGCTTATTTTTCACTAAGCTATAAAGTTTGCTTCCTGTTCCTTTTCTTTCTCAATTTGTGTTTTTAGAGGTCGTAATTCTTTTCCTTCGTTTGTATTGCTTTGCACAGAATTGAATTTTTGTAATTTTCCTGAACCAAATATTAGATAAAATGCCGCAGCAAATGCATACGTTCCTGCTAAGATCCAGAAGACATATTTCCATGTGTGGAATGTACTTTCGGTTTTTGTGATAATTGCAACTATTTTCGTTGAAATCCATCCAGCTATGGATGAAAGAGTATTAGCAATACCAAATATTGTACCTGAAAAGTTGGGTGCAATGTCAAGGACATTAGATAAATATCCTGCGGTCACAGCTCCGTTGAAAAACAATGCTAAGGTAAATACTGATACTGATAACGCTGATGTTCTTCCCCAAATGGCTTGAATTCCCATTAATATAGCAGGGAGTAAGCACGCGAAAGTTGTGAAGACTTTTCGTGTAACTGTAGTTGACATCTTTCCGGATTTTCTTATTTTATCTGCCAGGTAGCTGGCTATGACTGCCATAACATATTTACCTGAAAAATAAAAAAAACAATTATACTTCATTTGATTTACTTACATATTTGTTTAATTTAAAATAAAATATAATATTTATATCCACACAAAATAACTTTATTCTCAAACTTATAAAGGGAATATTCTCAGTGGTTGGTTGTATTCCCTAAGTTAAACAAATCTTAAGGAAGAGTATAACTTCTTGTTCAATTTGTACCTATATTAAATTATTAATGAAAATATCCAAATAGTTTACTCAAAATGTCACCATCAGTGATGATTCCCGTTTTCACATATGTATCAGAGGTATGGCCCTAACCAAAAGAGACGAATCCTCTCTATCTATGTTTGAAAGAAAACTCGTACGTTATACCGTATACCGTATAACATGTTGCTTCTCCTTAAAAGTTTTAAAGTGTTTGTTTGTGTTTGTGTATTGTATTGTTATGTCCAATTTTACTTTTATGACATTCTACTCATGTCGGATAGCCCACAACTGAGGAAATGCCCCTGAAGATGATCTATTGATCAAAAGTATTTGGGCAAGATTTAATTAATCACTGTGTTCGATAGTTGCCTTGTATACTATCAAAGTTTAATTATTCGAACATTCAACCTTATATTGAATAATCTATTTGTCATATAAAAGCTACAACTTACAACTAAACCTCCAAAACAATATTGAAGTATGATTATAATGGCTTATAAAATTAGGACTATTATATAGGTACCGCCTTTGTAGAACCGAACACGTGATTTGATTAAAACGATACTCAAATCATAAATTTAATCTTCTCGTTAAATTTAATTATGATAATTTTTCAATAAACCTCCTACTTATCTATGCTTAAAAATTTTAGACTAACTTTGTACGTGAATAAATATACATATTTATTTTTAGTTTTTTGCATTGATATGTTAAATATATTGATAACATATCTAACTAAAATACACATGAACACGGGTCAGCACAGGAAGTTACACTGGCGTCTAAATTATTCAATATAATAATAAGGAAACAGGGAACTTCCATAATATTTTGTTTAAATTTTTTTCGAATCTGTGATTTCAAATAATTACTATATCAATCCTCTTTATCTTTTTAGAGTAGTAGATATGGTATTTTAAATTCAATTTTGAATTTTAGAGGAAAAATTGCACGCATGGTATGAATTTGCTGCTCTATAAGCGTAGTGTCACACGTGTGTCAACTGACCATTAAAATCTTAGACAACAAAAGCGTAAGCTGCACAAGGACATAAAACTTTGAAAATAAACAATGTTCTATATAATACTACTTTTTAAAACAATTTTTAAATTTTAATTAGAGGAGCTCTTGCACCACGATACACAATAATACCGGTATGATAGTGTGCACGCTAGCTCTATCTCTCTCACACTGTGTGACGTCACGTGCGAAGCAAAGTTTTTATTAGGACACTAACGCTTGCCCTGTTATATTTGAACAAAGTATTTAGAATTGTTAAATATTAAAAACACTTTCTGAATCACTTAATAAATAATTTAAAATTAGGGAGAATTGTTTTAAATGAACGTGTTATAGTATTTATAAAGCTAGTTGAAACATTTCTCTCCCACTCGATTTATAAGGACAGTTCAATATTACATTTACCGCTAATCAAGTTAAAGTATAAATAAGATGCGTCAATGTTTTAAACGTATTTGAACAATCCCCTTACTTCGTAGAAAATAGATGGAAGAAAGACAGAATATACATCCCATCAAATAAATATTGGACATTAATATTTTATTCTAAATCACCAATATTTAACACGCTACTTGGAGGTTCGCTTCCAGCTGGCTGCGATGGTCTAGAGATAAGAAACGCTGTTGATTCATGCCAGTGCTGTACAGCTAAAATGTTTATTATTTTACGAAGTATAATTAAGTCATTATACTGTCAATATGGCCTATTGCCATTTAATTATAAATTATTTTTGTTGCTTAATATGACATTTTAAAAACTTTTTTATACACTTATGAACTTTACGACAGCTTCAAGTAAATTAAAATTGTCCTTTTTCTGTTCTTCATTAATCTATATTTGATTAAAAAAATAAATGATGCGCCCATGTCTGGTAACACGATATTATTCTTTTAATGTTTGTCGGCAATCTGTTTTTTGGATGTTTCAACTGACTTTATAAATACTATACCTGAACATTTAAAATTATAGAAAATTGTTTTAAATGAATGTGTTACAAAATATCTTCGAACTTTGAATTGCATTTTCCAACATTAGCTTAATTTAGGAGTGATTAATTTGTAAAACCAATTCATCTACAGCACGATGCATAAATACATCTACCGGGACAGGGAATTCTACATCTCGAACACCGTAGTATCCTGCACTGTTGCTTCGCAGGTGACATCATGCGCATCGGAGTACATATTTCTATTCCTTGAGTAGCATACTGGTATTTGTTTGTCGTCTCTTGCACTATATTTAAAAAATTGGAAAATTGAACGTGTAGTTTACAACACGTCGATAATGATCATCTTAACTAGATTGATAACAGTATAAAACAAAAACTTTTAAAATGGAGAGTAGAACAGTTTTTACATTCATGCATCATTCTGTTTGCCTTTATCCTTTACGATAATGCTATTCATCATCATCTTTGGTTCGACAATCTCCTGACCTACTCGATTCGTCGCCATTATGTTCAATTTCTGGCGACCTGTTGTCATCTTCTGATTTTTAATATTCCTAAGTCGGTCTCAACTCTATCTAACCACCTAATCCGCGGTCTCTGCTTCTTCTTCCTACATGTGTTCCTGTGGTTAGACTTTTAGCAATCGTATTATCTGGTATTCTTATTGTGTGTCCAGCTCATCTAAAATACTGTGTTTTAATAAAAATCATAACATCTGGTCAACTAAAGAGTTTATTATAGTGTTATCATCTTTCGCACTACTGCCCTTGGTCGTTTAGAGCTCCAAATATTTTGCGGAGTATTTTACACTCGAATATTCTCAAAAATCTCATCCTTCTGCTATAGGGTTCATGTTTCTGTCCCATATATGAGAACAGGCTTCAGCAGTGTTGTGTATTTAATAATTTTGGTATTTCTTTAGATGTTTCTTTATTGGAATTATTGTTGGAGTCTAAAGACTGTTTCTCCTACCTCATTTGCTATAATATCCTTAGCAACCAACATGTACTTGGTTTGTATTGCCTTTGTTGATGCCTTATCCAACTTTTTTAGCCGCTGTTTTCAATGTTAGGAAATATTGCTCATTTCGCTTACTATTCCCCATTATGTCAATGTTATCAGCGTATGCTAAGATTTGTATCGATCTATTGTACACAGTACCGCTCTATCCAATTAGTATTCAAAGCACGTGGTGTTCGTGTGTATTAAGGTATAAAAAAAGCGCTTATTAAAAGCTTAAAATTTTTTTATTATGAAGAATATTTTTTCGGAATTGTATCATTCCATCATCAGTTTAATAAAAAGTTGTTAAAAAACATTATGTGGCCACATAAAAAACATTCGATGGACATCTGGATTTAAAAAATAATCTTCATGTTATTTATTCAGGTAAATGCAATAGACTCTTGAATTTTGTAATATTAAAAAATGAAACTGGGCAAATGAAACTGAAATGGGCATCTTATATGACCCCCTGTAGTTGGTGAGGTTTTATTGACTTCATTACCTCTGATCTGTGTTGGAGTCTAGGGCTAACTATTATTAGTATTAGTGCTGGACCTGAGAAGAAGAGGAACTAGGACTAGAAAGGCAGCGAGAGCACAAACTGTTGTCATCCCAACCAATAAATCCCATCCTTGAAGAGGCAAAGTGACTAAACGACTAAGATTCAGGTTCAGAGAATCCCTTGTTTGAGTCCATCCTTTATCTCGAAAAATCCTCTGATAGAATTTTATCCATTTATCCCAACCCCTGCTTTTAAGTTAGACATTGCTATTTCGTTAACCGGATAAGTTTCTCTGGTATATCAAACTCACGCATTGATTGGTAAGTTCTCTTGACACTGTCGTATGCGGCCTAAGTCGCCGTACGATAGGTTTTAATGTTAAACTCTACTTTTCTTAGAGAATATTGGCCAATATTTTGTAAGCAGTTGTTAACAGGGTTATACTCTGTAGTTGACACACTGAGGCTGGTAGCCTTTTTTATGTAGAAAGGCTACCAGCTTCAAGACATGCTCTCATTTTGCAAGACAAGAAATAAAAGGTTATGCAGTGTCTGTGGAAGGGCGTCGCCATTATTATTTTAGAGTTCACTTCAAATTTGATCAGGTGCTGGTGATTAATTATTCTTAAGCTTTTTATCGGCTTGGGAAATATCCCCAATGATAGGTGGTCTTCCATTTTGGTTGAATAGATTCCAATCAAACCGATCTGCTTGGGTGTTGACTCTTTCTTCGATATGATGGCAATTAAATTTTGTAACGAAAAATTAAATCCAAGTGTTCAAGAATGAGGCCGTATCATTTAGGATATTTCTTTCTTTGTCCTTGCAGCTCCATTCTTGGCTTAAACTCTTTTCTTATTTTTTTAGATATCTGCAGAACTTTCGAGTTTCGTTTTGATTTCTTAACCCTTCTGTGCTTGATTTTCCTCAAATTGTTTCTTCTTCTATGTAGCATTGTTTCTTCTTAGTCCAGTATTCATCTTTTGCTCTTCATGTACACCCTGCTTAATTTGTATTACGACTAACCACTGAGGCCTAATAAATCCTACTTTCACATGAAACTTTTCAATTTCCTCACACCCGCTCAACTGCAGTAGTTGATATTACATAATCTCACAAAATCTCTCGGTGTACTATATTAAAAGCTTCCAATAGATTGTCATTAATAACCATATACTTGTGTCGATGTTGCAAGTCGTCTAATATTTATTTTAATACAGTATCATTCATTTACTAGAAATAATGAACATAATGGCAACAAGATATACCTTGTTCCATATCTCGCTCTATTTTTATTTCTATAAATTATAATACTTTCATTATTTTTAGGTTACTGCATGACTATGACTATGAATTTACTGCATGACTATGAGATTTTAGAGGAAATTGAGTTCTACTCTGCACTAATACATCTAATGGTCTCATTTATACTGTCACCTAGACCTAGTCACTTATATTTTTTTGCTATGCTTTCTAGATCTATTGACTTGCGGTGCCATGTTTGAGTTTATCTCACAAAATCATAAAATCTTGTGTCCATTCATTTTAAATATTTTGTAATATTTAAATTGACTATATTACATAAATATGTTCTCTTACAAATTTCGAATTGTCTCAGCTATATGTTTAAACTATATCAATATGCTTTTTATATGTATGTTTAAATGGTCCTTTAACCAAATACTTATGTAAGATCTAAGACGCAAAAAAACAGAACTCTATTAAAATTTATACAAATATAGTGACATTGGCCCTTCTTGAACTCAGGCTAAAGTTCTATAACCCAGTTTTGTTGTTTTGTATCAAAAATGTCAATAATTAAAAACATAAAAAAATTCATTAACAATGATCAAACTGATAATAATTTCCAACACTCATTTGTATTAAAACCATGATAAAATAGACCGTTACAGTACATTAGCATGATACATATGGTATTTAACGCATATTAGTGTGAGCTAATGATCGTATGCTTGCGTGATTATTGGAATTGGTTTTCAAAATGTTTTTAATTAGTATAGTGAAGTAGTACATGCTTCCTTTGTTTTAAATTACCAAACAAATAACATTTTTGTTGTATATTAATACTAAAATAAAGGTAATACTTAACCTTTTCAATGTATTAATTCTACAAAAGTGGAAAATCAAGCGGTAATAGATATATGTAAAATATTAATACGGAAAAGCAGCTGGCTCTGGAGATTTTGCCATGTATTGTTAAAATGATATAGTGAAAAATAATATAGATATCTAGCAAAACCTAAATGGAGAACATACCTCTCAATAATTGAAAACATATCTCTACCATTTTTAAAAAGTTTGCAATCATTATCGTTGCCTTTTAGTTTCTAGTATCATTAGTGGACTATACAGAACATTAGTAAAAAAATTGAGATGGAGTACAAATACTGAGAGTCTGCTGAGAAACAGGCAGGACTTCGAAGTCAATTATCCTATGTAAGATCACCTTTACACTGTGGCATCCTCTTCCTTTTACAGTACACTCTCCACAATGGAGGTTGGGTACTACAGTTGCAAAATCTCTGTTGGATAACTTTGCTTAGATATGCCAAAAGATCAAGTGGGTGAGCGATTATCGCACAAAGATTTGCCTGAATATAATAAGGAACTGAGAATGACAAAAAGGCTGCAAAAGGCACTGAGACATTTTCCTTGTTTTTCCTTGTTTTCTTTTTCCTTGAAACCTTTTCCTTGTTTTGCCGTTATGGTTACTCTTAAGTATTCAAATTCTTTTTCAAAACTGTAAGCAGCCTTTTCTTTTATTTTTATATATTTACTATTATTTGTTATGTCTCCCGTCTTTTCCATATATTGCGTTTTTATTTGGTTTAATGTTATTCCGTATCATTTCGCTTCTTAGATAAGGTAATATTACTGTAGTACTTAGAACCACTAATAAATATGCTTATAAACTTTCTGAGTATACAGAAAACAATAAAACTTGAGCCTAAGTTAAAAATAATCTATACTTACAAATAAAAAAATAATACGTACCAAAATAAGGAAGACTTGATAACAGTCCATTTTTCTTAATATTAAAATGTAGGACATCATTCACATATGTGGGCAATTGGTTTACAACAGTAAAATATCCAAATACTGAGCACCCATGTGTTACTACAATTGCCCAAACTGGCATACAGGTAAGTAAAGCTTTATACGGAAATTTATCGGGTTTCATATTCTTAGCACCTCCTTCAAATTCGGCTATTTTATCTTCGATATCCATCCTCTCTTCCTGGCTTATTCTGGGATGTTGAGCGGGAGAATCGAATACTAGCACAAACCAGAGTATAGACCAAACTATACCTACGGCACCAGTTACGTAAAAAACACTCTCCCAACCAGATACACTGATTAAGTAACCACAAACCTGCACAAAAAAATTGTTCATGAGTTTTTAAAGTCCACATAGACATTCGTCTTCTTTGTAAGATACGTAATCTAGAAGTAAAATAATTATAGCACAGAATATTCTGAGTTTATTTTATTGCTTGATATGGGAAATGCTAAGCTTATTACTTTTTATATAAGAAATTTGCATTATGATTAATAAACTTATAACATTAGTCAAAACATACCCAGGCGCCGATATTAAGCCAGATCACAACCCACTTATTAGTAAAATAAAACTTAGGTTGAAGAAGTTATGACGCAGACTTAAAAAAAATATGTGAAACCTTCTCTGAAGCTAGAACAAAGGAAGAGGAAAAGAATAGATATTGCTCAGGTAATCACAAATAAATCCCATTTAGAACACCTCATCATCATCATCATCATCCAGCCTCTATTTATCACGTCCACTGCTGGACATAGGCCTCCCTTAAACTCCTCCATTCCTCACGATTTTGTGCTCTTTGTTGCCAATTTTTAGTGATACGCCTGATGTCGTCGGCCCAACGTGTAGGTGGTCTTCCTCTACTGCGTTTGTCTGCTCTTGGTCTCCAATTTGTAATTTTGCTCGTCCATCGTGAATCGTGCATTCTCGCTACATGGCCTGCCCAGTTCCATTTTAGTTCCGCTATGCGTTCCACAACATCAGTAATACTCGTCCTTCTTCGCAGATCTTCGTTTCTTATTCGGTCCCTCAACGTCACTCCCAGCATAGACCGTTCCATTCGTCTCTGTGCCACTCTCAGTTTCGAAGCCGTGGTCTTGGTTAAAGTCATAGTTTCCGCCCCATAGGTCATGACCGGTAATACGCATTGGTCAAACACTTTTCTTTTGAGGCTGATTTTATTATTATGAGGCTGAATTTAGAACACCTACAGCTATCAAAAACTAGGACAAAATAGAAGAATATAATCAAAGTTAAGTAGTGACGATGAAAATTCCAAAGAAGTTGTTTATGGAGAGAGTGATGACTCATATGAAGCTCCAAATGACAATATGGAAGAAGGTGCGGAACCTTCAAGTTCAAGAACTCACTGACGATAATTTAATACCAGGAAAATACATCGTGGTATGAATAAACAAACGAGCAGTTACTTATTCGATTGGACTAATATTGTAAATTAATGCAGTCAAAAGAGTCGTGATAATCAAATGTTTAAAACAATGTATGGGAAATACGCCTGAAAAAGGCACGTACAATGTTTTACAAAATGCAAAAAGTTCTATGCAACCGCCAGCTGGGCATCTCATTGAGAACTAGAATAATTAAGTGCTATGTTTTCTCCACCTTGCTCTATGGTGTTGAAGCCTGGACAATGACAGAAGCAACACAAAAAAGAATCCAAGCATTCGAACTCTGGTGTTACCGTAAAGTGCTCAGAATATCCTACATGAGCCATACGACAAATGCGAAAGTCTTGCGGAGGATGAATAAGGAAAGAGAGCATATGCTTATAATAAAATAACGGAAAACACAATATTTTGGTCACATCATAAAAAATCAAAAGTATGAACTGCTCCAACTTATAATCGAAGGCAAAGTCAATAGCAAAGAGGTCCAGGAAGAAGACGCAACTCCTGGCTTAAAAACCTACGGCAATGGATGAACATGACCTCCATAGAACTATTCAGAGCTGCTACAAATACGATTAAATGGGCAAATGTAATGGCCAACGTCCTTAAGGATAAGGCACCGTAAGAAGAAGATGGGAAATACCCTCAATTTTCGTAAGAAAAACGAGCCTCTTTTGCTCGTTTATAATAAGATATTAGGAATACTGGAAGACTCAAATTAGGATTTGAAACATCATTACGTTTTGAGAGTATTTAAGGAAATTAAAAAATATTGCTTAGGTAATTTAATTGTCCTGTTTCATGATTTTTAATAAAAATTTTCGTTTCTGCATTTTCCATGTTGCTTTTATTTTAAACCAGAGTTCACCTTTCATTATAATAACTTCAAAGTGAAATTTACCAAGCAAACTAGTCTCCCCATCAGGGTCCACACTTAACCTAAATTAACGAGTAACTATGGACCCTTACACGTGAAAGAAAAATTTTAATACTTTTCTCTCTTAATTCATTTTTTAATTTCTATTGAAAAGAACATACTAACAGATTACTAATTCATATCTACAAACAAAAAGAAAGTGGTGTGAAACCCAACTAACTTCATAAGTAACTGCAAAATCAAACTTTTTATATTCCGTCCCCACTTCACCCTACTCTGAACATATTTTTGTGTATAACCGACGGCAGAAGAGGAAATTTTCTTTTGTAATTACTAGCTCATAAGTAAGTATCATTAAGAGCAGTGGTCAAAATCTCTACCACATACCTATAAGGGCTTAATGAGTCACACACTAAAATTTATCCTAAAAGTTATATATAACCGTATATATTGAAAATAGGATAACGACATAAGCAACATCTCGTTTGGTTTTCGCAATGAAATGGAAACTAGAGAAGCTTTGTTTCGTTTAAACATTCTAACACAACGCTACGTGGATTTACACAAAGATGTGTATGTATGCTTTATAGATTATGAAAAAGCGTTCGATAGGATATGGTTAAATTTCATAACATTTAACCAGAACATTATCATTATAAAATTCCAATGCCGGACCTGTATATTCGAAAAATGCCGGTTCAGCTTGACGTCACTTGGGTTGCGTTAGCTATGATCCGGATACTCATTTTCGGCTTTTGGGTTCGTTAGCTATGACCCGGCAACTCGTTGTCGGCTCTTTCAGCGTGGGCGCATCGAGAGCTGAGAGTAGCGTTCCAATCTTAACACTGTACACATCTCCACTCGTAGTATTTTGTTGGTTTTTTGTTTTCTTTTTACGTACGAGTGGAATTAAACATTCATAAACGGCTAACATGTGGTCGTATATCTTTTAAACATTTTTTCTTATATAACAAGTAATGGTTTCAACGTGTTTTTCATCAATGTTTTGTAAATAGCTGTATAAAGTGCTTCGTAAAAGACTTTTAAGTGCAAAAGTGAGGTTTAAGTGACAAGTTCTCATCTGTTTACGTGACCAAATGAACTTACATCAAGAATCGAACTATCTAACCTGCATTTTTTTGTAAAACTATTCCGAACTTACACATTTTCAGTTTCTCTCAATAAAATCTAGTGAAAATTCAATTTAAAGGGTTTTCATTTATTTAAACTCAAAGAAGAAATACCTTTCCAAGGAAATATTAGAAGAGCAAAGGGGTTATTACCTCAAGGAAGAACCTGATAATATCACACATGTTACCTTACCCGCAATTTCTTGGCATACCAGCAACCTAGAAGGAAATATAGAACATCACATCAAATTAATATGAGACAAACCCTCATATTTTATTCATGGTCAGCTTCGAGCCGGATCGACTTTTTGATGTCAAGGAAAGCGGAACTTTCGTTTGAGGTACTGTACAAGCATTTTTTAACAAACTATTAGTGTTTCTTCAAATAAACTTTGCCTTCTTCGAATCATAAACATTTTTTATCAATTTTTTTGTGAGTTTAGAATCATAAACATTTTTTATATCAACTTTTTTTTGTGATTTTAACATAGAGAATGTACTATAGTAACTTGGCAAATTTTTGTATGTTACAATTTTAAATGTATAATCTTTAAACTAACATAAGTGGAACAATTAAGATTGTTTTTGCTTTTTAAACAAGTGTTCTTTTTTGTAAAACATCTTTTAACATTTTTTATGTAAAACATCGCAAATTTAAAACACAATTTGCTAGGAATTTGCATGTCAAACATTTTTTTATGCATTTGTGGAACTTAGATTTTTGTTAAAAATTTATTTAAAATTTTCAAAAAGTTTTTTGTTCCTTAGCAAATTGAAATACAATGTTCTAGGGGACCGTATCGCCAATTTTTTTTTGATATTTTAACTTAGAGCGATTTTCAACCATTTTTGTTTTTCACTCCTAAGTTGACTCCAGGATATTAAAGCAGTAACAAATATTAAATATGGCATCAATCGATGAATTTAAGAAAATCAGATCCATTTCAAAGTCACAATTCACCAGGGTCGAAAATTGGATCAAAGCTAACGTAAATTGCACTGATAAGATTCAAATAGTATCAAAATTGGAAACTTTAAAAACATATTTCATCAAATATTGTGAAGCTCAAGATGAAATTGAGTATCTTGATCCTAAAGACAATGACAGAGAAATTACAGAAACCAAGTATTTCACGTTATTTTCAACTTTAGACTCGATTTTTTCTAAACTAACTGCTCCTATAGTAACTTCAACTCCCAAGTCTCAGACTACAGCTATAGCTTCACGTCTGAAACTTCCGGAGATTCAAATTCCCAAGTTTTCAGGGGATAATCTAGAATACAAATCCTTTATCAATCTTTTCAATGCTTTAATCACGAACAATTCTAATCTGGGGTCACCTTCGGAGAAACTTTTTTATCTGAGATCACATTTAAGTGGGGAAGCTCTCAAACTGATTGAGAATTTGGAGATTTCAGATGACAATTTCACAGTTGCATTGAATTTTTTAGATTCAAAATACAACAATATCAGACAAGTTTTATCAAACCATTTTCAGCAACTGTTGAGGGCACCTGAAATAACCAAAACTTCCCTAAGCACGTTGAAACCATTTATTACAAATACACAATCTATCTATGAATCATTACTCACTTTGGGTCATCAACAAGACACGCTCTTTGAGGCTTTAATTACTCAAATACTAACTTCTAAACTAGATTTTCAATCGCGAAAAGCTTTCGAAGAGCAAGCAACACCAAACTCTCTTAGTACCCCAGCTCAACTTTTTGATTTTTTAAATAGACGTTGTACGGTATTGGAAGCGGTACAAACAGAGGTACAACCGGGAAGCCCACATCATGATAGGAAATTTAAACAAAGTAGGACTTCACCAACAAAGTCTAGTTTACCCAAAGTGTCTTTGCATACTGCTAATCAACTATCAAACACAAACCATC